CACATTGACATACTCAATTTCCTGAGCATCAGGGTAAGATCTTACTTTTCCCTGTGGCTCCCTTAATCATCACTAGTTGACTGCTGACTAACGTACACTACTATTGTACTGGTACCCACTATAAACCACCTCTACATTCACCAGAGCAGTGACAGCTGCACTGCTTGTGACAGCTGCACTGCTGCCCCTGTCATAGGTCACAATGCCTCCAGCCCCAGGTTTCCCTTAGCTGCCCCCTCTCACTGCATCACAGTGCTGCTCACCCTAAATCCTCTGTTCTCCAGTGAGCTGGTCCTACAGAGCGTTCCCAACATCACATCTGAAGTCACATCCAGCAGAGCACACGTCACAAAGCATTGCTACAGGACATGGTCAGAAATCAGGCAGTGTTAGCATGCCCTGGAAACTGGTCAGAAGTATCGAGTCTGGGCCCAGACCCGAATCCAAAGTCCGTCTTAACCAGATCTCAGGGATTCTCATGCACAGAAGTGTGATGATGGTGTGGGGAGGTGTCCCTGGCCCCTCTTCTTGCAAGAGCCATAGACACCATCTACCATGCTTCTTGCATTAAACGAGGAAGGAGGAAATGGCATCTCTGAAGGGTACATAGCTTTGGTGGTTTGATCCATCCTTCCTGATCCTTTCTACCCATATAATGTTCTTTCTCTTACCTGCCAGAGCACTCGTCCTGTTCAGTTAGGATCCTTTCACTCCATCTCCCTCCACCCTCATTACTTTGCTGGGGCCTCCAGAGCCCTGATTCTTGGCAGAGTGTCCCAGCAAGGCCCCTCCCACCCACCCCCACCCCCGTCTTAGTTCTCCACTAGGGGGTACCTTCTTGGTTTTTAGGAGATTTCTGAGTTCCGGACTCTCAGAACTTCTCTCTGTGGTTGATGCCTTGGGGGCTTCAGTGCCCTGTGAGGTGTTAGGTTTGGGGCACTGCCTTGTTACCCAGCTTTTGTGGAAGCTGGTGCCCACATGTTGTTGGTTTTCCTCTTTCCAATATTGAATTTTATTTATTTTGCAGGTTATTGAAGCAAACCTGAACGGAGAACTGAACCTAAAGATAGAAACTGAGTTGGTATGTGTGACGACTCATTTTAAGGATCTTGGAAACCCTGTATTACGTGAGTTTTCTTGTGGGTTATATTTTGCCTCTAATAAATAAATTGTTTCAATATATAGTGATTTTCTTAATGAAAATGTTGAAATTTGGTTTTCTTTGTTTTACTTGAGAAGGGGTGGAGATTAGATTTCTTGTCCCTGTGACATAATGGGGCAGCTAACACTAGGCAAGAGGCCAGGCCACCAGGCATTGAGGGTGTGCAGAAGGGTGTTTCCCTTCCCTGGCATTCAGGTTGCAAACATTGACTTCCAAGAATTCAATAGCTCTTTGTAGTTGGCATCTTCTTTGGGTCACTAACCAGCTCCCAAATAAAGACACAGAGACTTATTATTAACTATGAATGCTCATCTTAGCTTAGGCTTGTCCCACTAGCTCTTTTAATTTAATTGAATGTGTTTCTATTCATCTTCAGGCCTTTTTACCTTTCTTTCATTCTGTATGTCCTACTTTCCTGCTTCCTCTGTGTCTGTCTGGCCCCTGGTGTCTCTTTTCTTTCTTCCCTGAGCCTAACTCCTCCTCCTAAACTCTCCCAGCCTGGGAGTCCCGCCTGTACCTCCTCCCTTGCTATTGGCCATTCACCTTTTTGTTAGACCAATCAGGTGCCTTAGGCAGGCAAAGTAAAACAGCAACACATCTTTGCATAGTTAAACAAATATTCCAAAACAGTTTTTCATATGTCACTGTGCTCTGAAAGGTTAAGATTCTCATCTGGACTGGAGTCAAAAGTTGTGTTTCTTATTTTCTCCTCTACTTAGTTCAATCCCTGTAAAGTTACATTGGCAGATACAAATATGATACAGATGAATTTGGTCACACTTTTCACCTTATAAAGGTCAGGAAGAAATGTGCTATCAGTTCAGTAAGCCTTGAAGGAGGTTGTGCAGCTTGGTGAGCAGTGAGCCCAAATTAGAGTCCTCTTCTCAAATGGAAGTGGCCAGAGAGCCAGAGGAAAGGTGTCTGGAATGATGGGAGGGCCATTTTTTGATATACATGTGTTGCTAAACAGATAAGATGGCGCCATCACTTTTAGAATTATGACTGGTTATTGTAGGTTTGCTTTCACATAAGCACAGATATTACCATAGCCTTGAAAGAAACATTTACTTTGTAGTGAGGGGCACATTGCTCCAGCACAGTGAAATCCATAGCATGAAGGCTGTGACAGTGGTGTGTGGAATGACCTTGGCTTTCATGCTGTTGTGTTTGCAGTACTTACTGAGTCTAGAGCCTCTGCATGCTAGGGAAGTGATCTACCACTGAGCTACATACCCAGCCCTGACTTGAGTTACTCAGTGTCAATCATTTTGTTTCACAAAGCAGGTTATCAGCACTGGAAAGTCTGATTTCTGATTTTCATTCTACTATGTAGAGTTAGAAGTCTGGCATTAGCCGTCTGTATTTCAACCTTTGAATCCATATTGAACTACAATTTTCTTTTGCGCAAAGAGGTGACTGAGTTATACTTCAAGGAGTTTTAAGTGAAGCTTCTCTGGAGGTCACAGTATTTTAAACAGTTCAAATACCTGCTGAATGAGTGACATTTACAAGTTGTAGTCTACTAGGTTGCTAAAAAGAGCTATGGGGTTGATCAGTTCATAAACACCCATTGCATATTTCTGAGTTCCTTGTTATGTCCAGAGATGCTGGGTTTTAAAAAAAAAAAAAAAAAAAATTGATGTCATTTCAGCCTCTGAGAGCGTCTCTCAAAACAGACACCCAGAAGACATGGCCCAGGTGCACATCGACATAAGGAAGCTCCTCCAGTTCCTTGCAGGACAGCAAGTGACTCCCACCAAGGCTGTGTGCAGTGAGTTTGCGTCTCCAGTACTCCCTCTAGCCTAATATGCGTGCGGTCTTCTAAGTGCAGATATACCCAGTTCCAGGAACTCAAGCGCCATGGGCAGTCGTAAAGTTTCCTTGAGCTAGAAGAAGTATCTGGAGACACTGAAGAGTGATGGCGAGCAGTGAGGTGCTGGACTGGCAGTGGGCTGGTTGATGTCCTGTAGGGCAGTGGGCTCTGCCTATGGTGCTGTCTGCACCTAGCAGACTATCTCACACATTTGACAGAATCAGAGCCCGGTATATGCGTTTTCCTAGATCTGAGTTTCAGCTTGAGCCATTTCCGTTCCTTTCATTGCCCACCTGACCTGTGCTCACTACCAAAGTCCCCTCGGTTGTCGGTTATTAATGGTTTAGTCCTCGTCCTGACTCTGGTTGCACACTGTCCTGTTCCTCTTCACCTGCTCTCTCTACTGATCTAGGAATTTCATCAAGAGCTTCCCGAGGCTCTTTGTCTCCTTGTTTTGTTTTGTTTTAAAAAAGGCATAGCAAGGTCACATAGATGTGACCTCCCTCCCTTTGTGGAAAGTGCCCAGGATGACCTCTCATCCACAAAGCCGAGGAAGATGACCTGGGACTAGACCATATAGTGATGGAACAGAGAGTTCTGGGTAGCTCTGTCAAGGACCAGCTGTTCTGAAAGAGAAAAGGGATGTATCCTAGTTAGGGTCACTATTGCTGTGATGAAACACTGTGACCAAAAGCAGCTTAGCGAGGAAAGGGTCTATTTGGCTTACACTTCTACATCACTTATCATTATCAAAGGAAGTCAGGACAGGAGCTCAAGCAGCTCGGGAACCTGGAGGCAGGAGCTGATGCACAGGCCATGGAGGGGAGCTGCTTACTGGCTTGCTCCTCATGGCTTGCTCAGCCTGCTTTCTTACAGAACCCAGGGCCACCAGTCCAGGGATTGGCCCACTCACAATGAACTGGGCCCTTCCCCAGCAATCACTAATTAATAAAATACCCTCTGTAGACTTGCCTACAGCCCAGTCTTACAGAGGCATTTTCTTAACTAAAGCTCCCTTCTCTCTGGTGGCCAGCTTGTGTCAAATTCACATAAAACCAGCCAACACAGGATAAGAAAGCACAGGAGAGACTGTGTGAGCATCTGTGGGGTGAGGACACGGGAGAATTTGGTGGTATGTGGTACAGCCTATCAGAGTGCACAGGACCACAAGCACTCAGACCGTGTCCATATACTTTGGTCACCTCACTGTGGGTACCTGCTTTTACCAGGAAGGCTCATTTGGTTAAATCAACCTGATTTCTCCCCTACAGCCTGGGCAGCTTCATTCTTCATCACTCGCGCGTCCCCAGTGGGTGGCAGTAGCCCGTGCTCGTGAGCCCTCGTGAGCCCTCAGAGGGAACAGGCAGCAAGTATAGGAGGAGGTGTCCACGGTACAGCATCTGTCGTGATAGGTGAGGATGAAAAGCTGTCATTAACATCCGGGTCTTTTTCTCCTAGATATTGTGAGTAACAGAATTGTTCATTTTGACTTGCTTCTGGAAGACATCTCCCTTCAGTATTTCATCCCAGCCTTGTCCTAGCACCGCCTCTCCAGACCTGGGAGCGCAGAGACCTTTGCCGTGATGAGAGAAGCACTGGGTGATGTGGTCAGTCAGCTGCCTGTCCTCACAGCACCACAGACCTGTACTGCTGGGCTTATTTCTCCCCCTGTGCTGCTTAAAGGCCAAGTGGAATGAATGAAGTACAGCTGGATAACCATTCCTTCATAATACTCAAATCCACCACCTGTGCCTCATCCTGGGTTTAAGCAATTAAGAAGAAAAGGTGGAATTGATTTCTTTTTAGGGTCTTTTGTTGTTTTTGTTTTCCTTGGGTGCTTGAGATGAGACCAGGGCCTTATGTGTGCTAAGCACATGCTCTGCCCCTGAGTTGCTCCCAGCCCTGTCTGAAGTTTCCGTAGCAGTTTGTCACGGAAGTTGCCGAAATCATCATCCCTAGAGAACTGGTGTTGCAGTTAGAATGCGCAGGAGTACTCCCCAGCTAGTTGCCCGTTCGGTCCCCGGTATGGCGGAGCTGTCTGCTTTCCGATGTGAGTGTGTGCATCCCTCCCACCCCACGCATCTGGGAGCTCAGTGCAAGTGGACACCACCACCCCCACCCCCCAGTCCCCGGCAACATGCCTAGTTTCTCACTGCACTCTGAGTATACAGCTGCAGCACGTGGTGCCTTGCCCAACTTCCTGAAGAGTCAAGTTCATCCCCTTCTCACTGCCTGCGGAGCCGGAGAGCCTGGGGAACCTGCAGTCTCAGAGCCTGGAGACACTGGGAGCCTGAGGGCCCGAAGGCCAGTCCAGCCAACCCAGGTCCCATCTTGAACTGGTCCTTTGGTGTACTCTCTGCCTGAGCCCGCTTTGGTTTTAGGTTATAACTTACTTTATGTTTTTGTAGTGCTCAGGATCAAACCTAGGACTGGGTACATGCTAGGCAAGCACTCCTCTATGCCAAACTATACCCCCAGTCATTTAAATTGTAATTTTGTGTAATTCTTCCACAGTATCAGATCTACCCTTCTATAAAGCACATTGTTTTGCATAAAGCACTTGAAGCTTGGCCATCATGGGCCTGGCTGTGTTCTGCTCCTTATTGGAGCTAGCTCACCCTGGAGGGTGTGCTTTCTCCAAAAACACCCTAGCAGGCTTCCTGTTTTGACTAGGTGCCGGGTGTCCCATGAGGTGGCATCAGAAACTGTTTTTTTCGAGTCAGAGTCAAAGCTTAAGTTGCCTAGGGTGAGATTTTTTTTAAAGGGGAGGGGAGGAAAAAACAAAGTAGGGCATTTCTTTTTGGGCTTTTCCATATTATTTAGGGAAAGTACTGTTCCTCAAGCGCTGCTGGGATTCTTTTTTGCCATTTCAGTTTTGATTAGACAGGTTTCTCTGCAGTAAAGCTGGCCTTGAATGAGTTGTAGCTAATATTGGCCTTGAACCCCTGAGCCTCCCACTCCCAAGTGGGAGTCTTGAGATGACAGATGTGAGTCACCATTCCTCTGGCTCTTCTGATATTTGATAAGATATATTTGGTTAAACTAACATTTTAGAATTAGGGATTCTTTCATTGTTAAAGCGTTTCTCTCTCCTTTGGCTTGTCATGAAAGGCAGTCCAGGTGCCGTGATAAAGCCTCATAATCATGATGCAAATGAAATTTCAGGACATTCCCTATGAAGCTTGTTTCTCTGTCTGTGCCTCACTAGTCACTGACGTCACCGCCGCGCCACGTTCTGACGGCGATGACGTCACAGTAACGTAACACGAGGGAGAAGAAGCCTTCCTCGGCAGTCGAGAGGCTGTGGTCTTTCTGGTTCTTGTCACAACTTTCTGCATAGTGTTCATAGCTTGTATCTCACAGCTGTAGTCAAGGGAGGGAGCTCGGAGTGGGATCATGGGAGCTCGGAGCTACTTTGTGGAACCCCATCCTGAGGTGAGACTGTGCGAGAGCAGAGAAATTCTGCCATCGGAGCATGGGGTCTGAGGCTTGGAGATGCGTTTTTACTTACTCTGATGGCCTAAGACTTGGAGGCTTGAAGAGTACTTTCCTGAATGTTGGAACCAGTAAGATACCCCCTGACGGTTGCCTGCCAGGCCTCAGAACCCACATCCCTGGTAGCCATGTCTTGAACTGAGATTTAAGACTGGCCTGAGACAGGTCAGGGATGAAGAATTCTTAGTGCAGCCACTTGTGCCAATGTCCAAGCAGCCGTGTTATCCTGTGGCGCTCGCTCCCTTGGTCCAGCAGGGACCTTCCTGCCCATCAGGTCTCCAGACTGTCCTGCCCAGCATCCTGCCACAAAGAAACCTGCTCTTAGAAGGAAGCCTGAAAAGCCTTCAGCATTAGTCTTGGAGCAAGAACACTGGTTCTTTCACCAGATGCAGCGGCCAATGGCATTCATTGTTTTTAAGAGATATAATTCTATATTTTTTTATTTTAAAGATTTCATTGGGACATCAAAGTGCACACAGTCTAGAGGGTTTTTTTAGACAGTTCAGTCATGCAGTCATTCCCCACCTTTTCCTCTGCCTTCCCTCCTGGGCAACTGATTAGTTGCTCTCTGTTGCTAGGCTTGCTTGTCTGGACAGCTCTGGAAACTCCTCCCCAGCCACTCAGGCCTCTGGTAACCACCATCCTTTACTACTGCTGTGGGGGCCTGATAGGAGGTTCTTGGCCCTTGTAGTTCTATATCATTGTCTATATATTGAATGCATTCGTACCTCAGCTGTCACAGCATGGCTTTCGCTCATGGCCATCCTTGTATAGTGAGTCTGTCTGGAAATTCTGTATGCCTGCATGCACTGCAACCATTGCAAAGCTTGATGGCATTACCATTTCTGCAAGGGTGGGCTCCCAACAGTCACACTTTGATTATAGTGAGGCTCGTCCCACTTTCTTTCATTCCAATGGCCCTGCGTAGGCCAGCTCTGCTCTGCTCACACTGTCCCATGAGAAGAGACCAGACCCAAGTAGGTCTCCTTCAAAGTCTCAGAATGTGAGGGAGCCAAATGCCCAGCTCCCAACTGTTTGCTCCACTGTAGAATCAAAGAGGAATTCTCCACGTGTGCTCCTGTGAGCTTGGTAGAGCAGCCTCATAGTTACCCTGACTGTCTGTCTCTGATGGTTTTGCATCTCTCTGGGGCCCAGTGGGTACCACAGCCTCACTCTGGAATTTGGGGAATTCAGGGTGGTCATCTTGCTATTGGAAAGTTACTAGTTGGAATTATGTGGGGACATGGGGAAGTCACAGATTTCTACTCTGCCATTTTGCTAATGCCACACTCCAATTCTGTGCTTTTGTGTGGATTCTGATGGAGAATCTAAAAGGGAGATTGAGCTTGTGTATTTTTCTCTAAGAACAGTCTTTAGCTGGGAGATGATAAATTAGGGTCCCTTGGACATTGGTGGTAGCAGTGGGGGGGATATTAGTACCACTTCCTGGTATTCAATTTGCTATTTACTATCTGTGGGAAACTTTGAAACTGCTCCCTTTGATGTACTACTTACGCTTATAAGACTTCTTCTACAGGTTATAGTCAAAGCTTAGTACTGTTATAAGTTAAGGATTTCTTTTTTTTTTTTTCCCCGAGACAGGGTTTCTCTGTGTAGTTTTGCGCCTTTCCTGGATCTTGCTCTCTAGACCAGGCTGGCCTCGAACTCACAAAGATCTGCCTGCCTCTGCCTCAAGGATTTCTTAATGTGAATGAATAGGGAATTGGTAGATGATCTGTGCTTGATACAGCATCATTTCCTAATGCTACAGGACAAGTATTGTGTGTACCGTAACAAAACCAGTAGGATGTTGTTATTCAGTGTGACAAAGATGACCAGGAAGCATGTGTCTAAACCCAGCTAGCTCTGGGTGGTTTTTATTTCAATCTTTGTAAATTTGTATATTTTCTAACAATTTTATAACCAACTTTGTAATGAAAATATTTTATAGTATTAAATAAACGTGTATTATTTGATGATTTCTTGAAATGTATTAATACACATATTCATCTGGCAACTTTAATTTCCTGAACATTTTAGTTTAGGATTAATTTTGACAGTACATCCTTATTTTCTGCAGGGGAAAGTTAGACTTTTTGCCATGTTAAAGTTATACTGGGTTAAGAGTATGGAGCCTGGATTAATAAGGCCATTTTATATGGGAAAATTCCTTCTTATCATGGGTCCAACATGAAAAAGTTAGTTAGCTTTCCTTCTCAGTGACCAAATATCTGAGATAATCAGCTTTTAAAGAAGAAAGGTTGGGACTGATAAGATGGCTCAGGGGGTAAGGGCCCTATCTGAGTTTGAACCGGTGGCCCACACTGTGGAAGGGAAGAACCAACTTCTCAGGAAGTTGTCCTCTGGTTCCCATATATATGTATACAATGGCATATATGCGTGCGCACAAAGACACATACACACAGATGAATGAAATTTACCTGTTGCTAGGCAAAAAGCAGGAGGAAGGTTGAGACATCAGTATCCCTTTCAAGGGCACACTCCCAGTAACCAGCCTCCTTCAGCCAGGCCCATATCTTACAGGTCCCTCCAATCCAAGCAGCTGAAGATCAAGTCTACATGTGGACTTCTGGGGGCATCTAAGATCTAACCTGTATCATAACTGAGTGAGGTGTCTAACAGTCTGCAGAGGAAAAACGCTTTATTAAGGTTTCTTAGTCTAAGCATTTTGGGAGAGAGCAACTAAACCAGAATTTCTCATAATCACTGGGCAATCAATAAGAAGTCCAGGAACAGTGGGACAGGGAAACCACCTGCCTGCAGTTCAAGTCCCTGTTGCCAGCAGCACTCTGAACAATACTGGATTCTATACTCTAGCACCCTGGGACTAAGACCTGCCTCTTCCCAGCACCCAATCCTGGACAATCAGTGACCTCCTAAGGGGCCACCAGTGAGTGGCTGGAGTTAGTAGAGAAAATGCAGCACTTCAGCTCATTTCTAAATTAGAAGGCATGTGTCAGCACTTGAGGGCTTTACATACAAATGAAACCCAGAAATTCACCTTGTTTCCAAGGGACATTGATGGCCACAACTGAGTTCCCAACACCACAGGGTGCACTGGTGCTTTGCCTATGGGTATAGTATAGGCAAAGGACTCCAGTGGCATCTACTATGGACAGTCAGTGTGTCTAGTACATCATGACACCACTCAGTTACCATGGAGCTCTCTACCCAGGTAGCCTTCCGTTCCTCACTCAGGCGTGTTTATAAGCTTAAGCTTCAGCGGCTCCATGTGTAAACACCCTAAGCATGTTTACCATACACGTGTTCATTTAATTATCATTATCTTCCTGACAGAGACGACATCCTATAGAGCTTGCCCTGTGAGCTACCCTGTCTGAAGGGGAAAATACAGGTGACCAGACAGAAGCAAGAGCCAGAATGAGTTGAGTGTCTTCCCTGGGTTTCTGTGCTTTAGTCTGTCCATTTCCTTTGTGGTTTGCAGATTACTCTACCCAAGAGTCAAAGAGTATAAGGAACCCCTGTAGGTGGACAGCACAGGACCAGTGCCTCCTTCCTAAGGTCCCACTCCATGTTCATGCTGGGGCTTCAGCAGCTCCGGGAGCATGCGGCAGTTTCAAATCAAGAATGCGCTGCTCAATGTCACTAGAATACCTAAGTACCCAGTAGATCTCCTTGCTGACTGAACATGTTGCAAGTACCCATGAGAAAGAACATCTGCTTTACCCCAGATCCAGGGAAGAGAGAGGCTGTACATTGGGCACCAGGTCTCTGAATTTGCCTTTGTGCTGTACATTCATAATGTGTGTATATGATCTAGATTTTTAAAAAGTAGCATAGTGGCTCAAATGATGCGGTTCATACTTCCATATGACACGTGCATGTGTGTCTATTGTCTATATCACAGAGCATTTATATTAGTATAGGCAAAGCACTCCAGCTAAAATGTTTAGGGAACATTGCAGAAGAGGGGACCAGGATGTTTGTTGTCCTAGATTGTGTCCCCTAGAAATGTCGGAGAAGCTACACCCATGAAGACTTACCTTCATGCATAGCATGGTTGCTGCCCATGACCTGAATAGGAACAACACCAAGAGACACGCTGACATGGATGGGGGAAAGTTCAGGAGGCCTCAACCCTAGACGAAGAACTACAGGTAACTAAAAAACAAGTATCAGAGTTGGAGAAACAGCCTTCCTTCCCCAGGGAAGAGCACATCAACTGGTTACCCAACACCAAAAGGTCAGCCCTGAAACACATACATACAATAACTTTATAAGGACTGAGCAGGTGGTATTTATATTTGAAGAGTGTGTGTATGTGTGTGTGTGTGTGTGTGTGTGTGTGTGAGAGAGAGAGAGAGAGAGAGAGAGAGAGAGAGAGAGGGCAGCAAAGGCTTGGTAGGTACACAATGTTG